TCTCCAGACCAACTCATTAAGATGGCGGCATCGCCTGTGAACGCACCACTGCTTTACAGTCCCAGGTCACTCACGCCCACTCCTGAACCTGTTTCATTGGAGCCGTCTGTTGCCGGTAAACAACAAGCGGTTATCACAACTCCCTTGGTCACCGTGCTTGAACCTCAGCAAGTTCGCCCCGTGCAACAGACCTTATCAATTCAACTTCCAGCAATTCCTCAAGTAGGCAAAGCCGAATTGCATTCAGTCACACCCATCACGGGCAATATTACTCCATTGCAGTTTGCTACTCCATTGGTCAAACTCACAGATCTCAAAAAGGTCGTTTCCATGGAAACACCTACTACTACAGTACAGCTGCTGACGGATGTGTCTAAACGCCTGTCACTTCCGTTTTCGGGTGAACAATCTATGTAGGTGAATTTTTTTCAAAGAAAAATTTTTAGTAATTTTTTTATATAGGAATACAAGTGTTGCCTTGCCTTTCGCAATATTTTTTCAAGTACATTAAGATTAGCGAAAGTATAGGCAATTACTTTTCAGAATTTTCCGATCATTGCTCTTTTATAACTCCTCCAGGACTGATGAGAGTGGAAACAATTTTGTTTAAGTACAGTGCTTTATAAAGCAAATAGATTTTGGAGCAAATTTTGCTGAATAGCTCACAGTTAAAATCATTGTGCAAAGTAACGGTCACAGATAGGTGATTTTATTTTACTCCGTTTTTTCTGGAAAACAGTTTGGAGGGAGATAAAATTGTTGATTTATTTTTATTCAGAATTGTATTTTTTATGTCAAGTGGAAGTTATCAAATGTATAATTTAGCTTTGAAGCTTTCGAGCGATCCTTTAATCGCAAATCGTTTTATTCTTTGTAATGACTGAAGAAGTTGTCCAGTTTGAAGAATATGATGCCCTAGTGTGTGTTAAATTTCCTTGATTACTGACCAAGGTTAAATGCTTTTGTCACTGCGACTGAAACAAACGGTTTATTTTATAGCAGGGCCGTACTAAGTTTGGCAACTGTGTTGTGCAGACAGTTCTATTGTTTACCTTTGGTCTTCTCATTCACTTCAATTTTGCAACCTCTTCAAAACTTTGAGTAAGTTTCTATAATGGCAAGGGAAATCACAACCAAGTCTCAAATTGTAAACCTGAAATATTAATAACCGCCTTTTAAACATTCCGGTCCTGGGTAATATGGGTAATGTGAATCGAAGGAACGACTGACGTTCTTGAGAATAGTTTCGTGCACAACGTGGAAGATTATTTGTCATTTACTTCATGACAATGATCGACCGCTAAATTTGTAAAAATAATTTTCCCTGTTACTTGACCATTACCGCTCAGGTTATCTGGGTCAAAAAATTCCTTGGATTAGTTTTCTTGAGGACAGCTAAGAGAGCTTACAGGTAATGACACTTATCTTAACAAGGTGCTTGTTCATTCGAGCATCGAGTGCTTTTAAGTATTTTTTTCGTCTCCAACCAGGCCCACTCAATTCCGGCCGTTGCAATAAAGATTGCCTCGTAAGGGGGGGGGGCCTCCTTTGCCATTTATTTCCTGCTGTAAGCGCTCAGTTTAATGGGTTCCTTAAAAAGAATTCCGCCTCTTTTTCTGTCAATCACAAGTTCGTGACAATAAAGAAGGAGAACGATAAAAACTGTAAAGTTCCTTACTAAGAATTTGTGTCAAGGCTGCAATCTGCTTAACTTTTAGACCCCCGTTGGGTGACTAACATCTAATTTCTCACTAATATGGTATCACTGCGGAATCAAAAATTAGGCCCACGAGAATTAAGGAAATGAACGTAAAATTGAAAAGCTCTTGATATTTATCAAATTCTCCTTGTTTGTACCATAGGAAATCTATAAAGAACATTATGGAGAATATACATGCTGATGTTAAGGTGTAAAGGGTTAACTGGTTGTAAATCTCGTATTTTCATTTGTGCTTTAAATGCGGTGAACGTGACTAGAGGATTTCCACGGTCTTTCTTGTAAGCACCTTTAACAAAGCATTCCCGTATGATGAAATTTTACTCCTGACTATCCAAACCCGTACAATCTTGTGAGCCACTTTTTTTACGGAGACCGGTATCTCAAACGTCAAATACAGGCAAAGAAAGTGTCTTACTCAAAAACTAAGCGAGGTTAACTCCTTTTTCTCTTGAGTAACATTCTAAATCAACGTTTCACAAATATGATGCGTCAATGCAATTTTTCCTCACCCTCCACTATAGCGTTTGAACTCGCGAAATCCCTTCACATACCTCAAGCGCGAGACTGATGCTCCTTTTGTCATTGGAAATACCCCGCCCTCCCGGAAGAATGGCGATCGCAACCAAAGTTACCTGAACCGGAACACGCAAGGCAGGTTCAGGTCTTTCATAAATTGGCCTTTATCACAGATGCTCACCAAGAATAATGAGACAAATGCAAATGACAACACTGTGAGCTCAGCTTAAAAATGTAAGTGTAGTCCAAAGGAAATACCGCTCATAATGTTACGTCTGACTGTGTTCGTGAAAGCTGCGGCCAGTGCCGGCCGCAGGCAAAAAAGCGCAGGATGCGATAGACAGTAACCACATTTAGTCTAATTCTCCCTCAGTACAATCCCTGGCCACTTGGAAACCCTAAGCAACGCTCCAATAAAAATTACAACACTTCTCAATTTTCGTCTCTTTGTGGAATGTTGGGCAGATAGTTTGTACTGGACTCACTTTATCTTTAAAACTTTTGAAAACCAACTCGTTCGTCTTTACTGGAAAACAGAAAAATAGAAGGGAATCAAATTCAAGGACAATCCAGTAGTTCCTTAGAGTTTTACCTGGCTATGACTGGCGAGCTCCATACCTTCTTTAGCGAATATGCCGAGCGAAACCTGGAAAGAGAGCCAAACTCTAGAATGTGGGGTTACTAATACCCTTGTCTTTATTTTTTTTTCCCTTTAACTCCCATGAGTGATTGAGAAAGAATTTCTCCTTACGATATCTATACAATATCATGTAGACATGTGATGGGAATAAAGAAAAATATCAATTATGGGATTACTAATTGATCCGATACCAAATTCTCCAAACTAACATGATGAGAATCATTTGGCAGACAGTAAGGAGAATTACTAATGAGATCTTGGGAGTTAAAGGGTTAATTCATCCCCTGTCTACTGGATACTGCATTGATGCCTTAAGGAGAAGTACAAGGTTTAAGCAAATGGTCCAGGCAGGTTAAAGTGGTGGCAGTCATCTGACCTACATATTCAAAGGAACAATTAATTAGCTTTATACTGATGCTTTTCAAAAAATAAGAGACTGAGGAATTAAACAATTCCAACCAATCATTTCTACTGCAAATACTCACTTCTATGAGTTTCTATGAGTTTCTTAAATGACACCGCTTTCTTTCTAGATATTCATTGCCCTATAACTAGTGCAAGCCTGAAGACAAAAAAAGTGAAATGACTGACAAAGTTTGAGTTTCTGTACTGAGAGCCTATTTCCTGATTGCAATCTGCTGAATAAGTTGTAAGAGCAATATCCATAGCTTACTTCCATTATTTCGTAAAACACGCATATGAGGTGAATGGCTAAACATAACAGTGACACCTTTGTAACTCTTCAATACGGAAAATTTCGCAAAAGTTTTCTACATAACACTCCGAAAGGAGTGATTGTAAATGCACCTGAGGTTTCCAACCTATACCATCTTATAGGTTCCTTTTTGACCTAGACTGGAATTGTTATAGCAAGGAGATGACAAAGGAAGTGTCTTGATAATAAAGTAAGCCAGATTTGCTTGTTGTTCTCTTGGGTAACTTTTAGTTCTAAATGTACAATCCACAGGTATGATACTTTGTCCTCATTCAGGCCTGGGTCAGGAGAGTAAATTGCCTTAAGATAATAAACAGCTATATCTCCGCAAATACACAGCCAATTGCCCTGAAATTTTCGTGGACGATAGTTTTCCGTAAGAACTTTTACCTTATGGCAACAATGCCGAGGAGGAAAGTCACATGTCGGGTCATGTGATCAAAACGCTACTCAATCAGTTTTTATTGGAATTGGTAAGATTTACACACACTCTTCACTGATCAATGAATGAAACAAATACTCAGTAAAAAATTCTAGCCTCTACGTTTGGAATAAATTTCCTTCGTTCCTTCAAGAAGAGAATTGAGATTTTTTAGAGCTGCGAAGAGAATTTTGTAAACTTAATAGCATTTTGTTTGTCATCAACTGTACTTGACATATCATTCCGAACGTGAAGACAAAGTTTATCAATGCCTTCTTCTATTTTTCAAAAGATATTTGCGTGAAACGGAAACTTCAGCACCGGCAGGTGCGTTATGATTACTCTTTTAAGGGCTACGAAGAATGCCGCCATTTTGTTTCTTTTCGTTAATAATACATGAACAAGACCTGACAATTACATTACACCGCTGATTACAAAGGTGCAAATCAAATATGGCGGTCAACATGGGTCATAGGACAATCGATCACTGCAGCGAAAAGTGATACTGCTTAAATAACTGACTTAGTTTATTATTTGGCGCTCTAGAACAGTATGTTTGCGACTCTTGTAATTCGAGGAACGCTGAAATACTTCAATGATGATTAATAATTTGTGTTGATTTGTAGTTGCTTTTGTTTTTTTGCACTTTCCACTCGTGGAACGCATTATATGGCTTGTGGTTTCCTATGGAGTCAAATATACGACAGCCTTTACATAAAAAAATCCCAAATGTTTCTCTTGCCATGGCTGCCAAGTCAGTTTACCAACGATCAGTCAGTTTTTCAAATTTCAGTTTGACACGCTGATTTGCTCATGTTAAGTTATGGGGGGCAATTTCCCTTGCCAAAAAATAAGAAAAAATAGCAAGATATGATAATGAGTCAGGAAAGGCGTAAGCTGGCATCTGGAAGAGAGGTATTGGCTGTACAAGGAAAATTTCAAAGAATATCTTCATCAAGATGTCAGCAAAAGTGTTTATTCCAAATACTTACTGATAGAAAAAAAAGCAACATCAACTACAAACAAAATTCCCTATCACTGATAAGTTTTTTTTCTAAAGAATTATGAGGCCATAGATCACCTAATTTCACAAGATCACAGTGGTCACCACTGAAAAAAAGAGGAAGTAGCTAAAAACATTTACCATTGAAAGCTGGCAGCAAACTGCCTTGGGTAAATCAACCCTGCAAAGAGACTTTTGTAGACTTAATGGCATTTTGCATTAACACCCTGCACAGTATTAATGCTTTATTGAAACAACTCCAGTAGAGAGTATCTTTTACAAGAAAAATACATGCTGTGCAGTGAACAAAAGGGAGCCATTTACAGATGTTAAAAATCAAACAAAAGAACTGGCTAGCAAAAAAGATTTCCAAACAAACACAGAAGGAGGTGAAAAACTTTGGGACAGTGATCTAAAAAGAATTTGGCAAAGTAAGCAAGGAGTGATTGGGAAAGTCCTTTGGTGAAGTAATATCCCTGGTTCCTGAGGCTGGGTTAACAAAGAAGGAATCACCTGTTAATGCAAAGAAAAAAATTGTAAAGCAAAGATAAAATTAATAAAGAATGTGAAAATTCTTTTTAAAAAAAATTATGTAGGCCTTCACCTGGCTCAGCATATATCATTTGCAAGGCAAAGAACAATGGAATGCTTCAATATCATCAATAAAGCAAAGGAAAGGGTCAACAATACACCAAAGTAACAAAAGAGGTTGCATGTTCTCACAACATTGGATGGGGACCTTTAGCAGCTGCTGCTGGATGTCACTGTCAAGGAGTACCATTCAACAGACAAGAGGCAAGTGTCCCACCAACCAATGCTGGGCAGGTTTTAAAAGAGTATTCAAAGTCTCAGGGAGTAGACACCAATGTATTTGAAAAACAAACAAGTACGTTCTAGGTTGTTCTACACACCAGCAAATTAAATGTAGTGCCTGAAGATTCAACCATATCACTCTGTTTTCTAACAGACACTTACAGAATACACATACAGCCCTCTTATGCTGGTGAAAAGATCATTAAAAAAAACAATCTAACTCAGTTTCATAACCAAACTGACAGTCATTCTTAATCAGTAATATAACTTGTAGTAACTGATCAGAAGGCAAGCTCAAACAAAAAAAAAATAAGTATCTTTATTGCAGAAAATTCAGAAAGGTCAAAGTTAAACCACCTCAAAACATTGACCAGCTCTAGGTGCCATCTCTTGATAATTAGATGACACCTACATAGCCAATCCAGCCACATGTAAGCATTTCTTTGATGGTCATTCAGTCAGTTATGTTCAATAATATTTATCATAGGATTTATACCTTCCAGCTTATTCTGATTCTTCATAAGACCCCACAACACTTCACCAGATTCCAGTGTTGTTGGATGTCAACAGAATTTGCTGTAAACAAAAAAGTATAATACACAATACTTTTAAGTATGATTAAAAACAATTTTTTGGGGGGTCATGGGCATATCACTAGCCTTTGGAATGTAACTTAAGCCTTTGTCATCAAAGGTTAAAGACCGACCACTAATTTTGGCAAGTCTCTCGTGATCCATTCAGCCAAAATCTATTTTTCACTGTACATGTAAGAACACAACTGTGTAAGTATAACTTTTATTTTCCTCATTAATTCAAAATGTACAAGCATTGTAGCTTAATTGATAAATTCTCTTTGTTGAAGGACTCACAAAAAAAAAGTATAATAAACAATATTGTTAAGTATGATTAAAAACAATTTTTTTTTTGGTCATGGGCATATCACTAGCCTTTGGAATGTAACTTGAGTCTTTGTCATCAAAGGTTAAAACCGACCACTCATTTTGACAAGTCTCTCGTGATCGATTCAACCAAAATCTATTTTTCGCTGTACATGACTGTAAGAACACACCTGTGTAAGTATAGCTTTTATTTTCCTCATTAATTCGAAAAGTACAAGCATTGTAGCTTAATTGATAAATTCTCTTTGTCGAAGCTCATAGCTCATATATTGCCGAGAAAAGTGTTGTGCTGCAGATCACTGTGAAATTTTTGACTTGGGATTGAACGTACCACTGTATTCAGATTTGATAAACAAACAAATGTGATCTACTCTATGGGAAAGGTTACACATCGAGGTTTATTAATTTTACGCTCATCCCATACTGATGAGAATGAAAATTTCCCAAGTATACTAAAAAAAATTGGATCCCTTGTTTAGTAAACCAAAAAAATGCATTTTCCTCGAACGCTCTTAATTAATGGTGTACGTGTTAGTAAATTCGCAGCTACAGCAAATTAGAGCTAATTTCTGAAAAACAACACAAAAACAACACTCACCTCAACTGTAAATCTGACATCTGCGAAAAAACAGCGTCTTCTGAAATATTTAGGCTAGAAATCGATCTTAACTTCCTCGAAAACGTGAACGCTCTAATCGTAGATCGGCCGCCATGTTACCGCTCTTCGATTGAATGGCATGAAACTCTGCTAGGGGTCTCGAACCAAGATAAAACCCAGGCCTTAACTTGAGCCATCGTTAAAGCCCAACTCGTAAAATACCTTCCACAAACCTGTAGCTCGATCGAAGCGGTGATCCTTGCTTCCCCCCTCCCCCCTCCCCCCCATCCCTCCGACAAATTGTGATCGCAACCAAAGTTACCTAAATCGAAACAAGGCAATCAGGTTGAAAATTTAAGTGTAGTTCAAAGGGAATAGTGTACGTAGCATTACAACTGACTATTTGTTTGAAACAAGCAGCCGATATAGGTCGCCGACGTAGGAGCGCAAGGTGTGATGGGAAGTAACCGTATTGTCCCCCGTCACACTCACAGGCCACATGGAAAGGAAACATGTTTTATTCAATGCATTCACTTTTTACATTTGTTAATTAGTCCCTAACGCTCTTTTTATCAAAATTAACATGTACAACAAAGAAACTGGGACGAAATTGAACAGAAATGCTTTTAAGGAAAACCTGAATAGCTCGCAAAAAGAAAGGGCAATTTATTTTTTACACATTTACAATTTCCTTAACAGTCTCTTTTGTCTGGAGCTCCTAATGACACTTCTGTTTTTGAATATTATTTTTTCAATCTCCTTGGAGACTATGACAACAAGCATATACATGTGATGGCCGATAGAAAACAGCTCACATTTGCTTCCTCTTTTAGTTAGTTTATATTCAACTGTAAGTATACGTGTATTCACTGGAGCGGTTTTTTTTATTTAGCAAGTAAGCGGCGCACTGAACCTCCTCGCTTTCTCATCGAAACAAACTCGTACTTGCTCGAAGCTACTACTTCAATTCCAAAACATAACATGATTTCGTTCCAGCAGAATGAAAACGCTATGCCCCCTGATGATTTTTCTATTTTCCGGTTGAAAAGGAAACCTGTGTGTCCCTTGTCTCGGCAACCATCTACTCGAAATTTCTAGCAACTACTCATGTCTTACTTTTTAAATGTGATGTTTACAATTAGCGGTCTCTCTTTTTCTGATAGAATTGCTATATGGCACAGCAACAAGAATCCAGCTCTTCCAGTGGCGGTTGTAACTGTTTTGGAAGGTATCTCAATATACTTTTCTTTCTGTAAATTAGGCTTTACTAAGCTTTGTTTGCGATTAAAAATCAAGGAAACTCGAAACAGCACTGTATTATATCCATGCAACCGAACGCATGTCCATAACGCAGGAGAGACGCGTATAATTTTAAGATGATTTGGTTTGGTTTTTCTTGTATAATTATTTTCGATTCAGCGAAACGATGTGGGCTGAATTATTCACTTCATGAATGACTAGTAAACAATGATCATGAGAGATACGAGACCAATTTTTGCATCTTGTTCGAAGAGAATTAACCTAAATATGGATCAGTTTAAAATAGTTTAGCCGGACTATTTTAGGATGAAAGGCAAGCAAGTGCGATATCGATGAAAAAAACTCGGACGCTTTTACCCCAGAATATTACCGCGTAGTATAAACAAAACATCATTCAACGTTTTTCTTCGAAAATAGCCACGTATTTCAAAGAGCACTTTAGATACTAGTTATAGGATGTTCTACTCGATATCCTGGTAATAGTTATAAATATGAACACGTTACCTAGTTGTATTATGTACGATAGTTGCAGTTTAGCTGGGCTGTAGATCATAAAGGTCGCTATTTCTAAATGCGCTGAATGTTACGAACGAGGTCTAGAGTATTTCATTCTAATTAATATTTAGACCTCTAAAAGAAGAAAACCATTCTTAAATAAACGTCAAGCGACTGGAGGGGCTCGACCAAGTATCATAAGTCACACAGTCGTTGATTACTAGTTCTAGATAAGTACCAAATTTGCACAAGTAGATAGATGTAAATATCATATTTGAAATAGAGAACAATTCGCAAATGCTACGTTTTCTTCGTTCCAAAAAAGAAAAAAAAAGGAATTATAGATTTTGATAAAACTCTTGAAATTTTTGGTCAGTGTTAAGTGAAGCTGAAAACTACTAGTCAAATTTATTTAATGACGTTTAGCTCGCTTGTGAAAAACTGCCTCCCCGCGTTTAAGTACAACAATCAAATAATGGACAATGCAATAAACATCATTAACAATGCACTTTCAAGAGAAAATTTGCATTCTGTTTCATAATGAACTATGAATGATCCTTGACTGAACTTGAAGCCTTACAGCCGTTAAACATTCTTAACAGTACACATGTTACCATTTCAAGCTTTCTGTTTCATTAGCAATAAGATAACGAAGAGAAAAAGCGAAAATGAAATTCAAATAACCTTCAAGAAAATTTAGTAGCTTGAAGGTATTGTGCAGTCCGCAAAGACAAGACGTCCTATCCAGGTTCTTATTTTCCTCGTCTCTGTTTGGTCACGCGTAAAGGCGGGAGTTTGCTCTCTTGTTACTCGAGGGAGGGGGGTTATGTGAAAATGGGCCCAGTAAATGTCTTATTTCCCGCACCTTTCTAAGTCTTTCATATCTCTTGTACCTTCTTTTATGCAGCAATGAGCGGTCCATTGAGCCAGTGGATAGCCCCAGAGCACCGTAAGTGTAGGCGTTGACAGTTTGTATTAAATTTTTAACGAGTGATATGCTGTAGATATGGGAGTAGTAATAAGAATTTGTAACTAATAAAAAATGGAAATACTCATCGCAAGCATACGGAATTGTCAAATTCTGACTGAAGATCAATTGCTCAAAACACGATAGAGCTAACCAACGGTTGTGTCACTTGATTTTGAAGCTTTTACGGACATTTTAATTTGTTTTATTTGGGCTTCTTCATTTGGCCAGACTTTTGACTATCATCAATACCTCGCGCTCGAAAAGCGTAAACAAACTTTAAATCAAAAACCTCTATTAGCGCTCAGTCGCATCCAACTACCGGCCCTTGGTTTATAAAATCCAAAATTTACACAAACTCTGCAAACGAAACTGTTACCACAATACAGCTTTTCTATAAGTTCGCTTAATTTAGCCTAATATTTCACAGATTGAGATGTTTACTCTTCCCATTCGACTCATGATCATTCGCTGGACTATTTTCATCAGTTCACCCGTTTCAAGTTGAGCGGCAACTCATGATTTCACCTTCAGGCTTTATTTTATTATTTTTTTTTTTTAGGGTAGACCCGGTGATAACTCAGCCTAAACCAGAAAATACAGTCAACGAGAATTATACTGCAACACCGTATGTATCGTCCTTTGTTTCCCTCAGTCTTCCAATTTCCTTTCTTATGATTTGATTCTCTTTGAACAGGGAAAAACCGGTTGTAATCCAGCCAAAACCAATAAAACCAGTTAACAACAACAACAAACCGTAAGTATTAACAGATCTAGACTACCTTGTAACAGCTTTGGAATCAAGCCTTTTACAGTCACTAATATCATGTTTGTGAGCCACTATGGCAGCAGTAAACCACCGCGACAAATTCCGAAAAGATAAAACAATGGTTTGGTTTTTTTTTTCTCTTTTTTGAGTCACCATCGGTGTTCATCCAAGAATATAGTCTTAACCAATTTACATTGTCAAGCGCAATTTTGTTTTAATTTCGAACAAAACAAAGTTGGAAAAGGTGACAGGTTTCAAAGGCTATCATAAGGTCTTTTTTGGACCTAATCGTGCGCAACGTTCAGTGACATTCCAATTATGCTGATCTATCAGACCTCTAGACACCTCTCGTCAAGTTATTCAGCCAAAATGTTTGAGAGTCAAAAACAAAACTAATTGTGCACAGTAAAGGGACCTTGAACTTCCATTAAACCAAAATTGCGATGCCAGTTTCGTGATCGCGGCTTTTCTAACATTTCACCTCTACTTAATATGAACAGAGCTACTTCTTCTCTTCATAGGAAGCCTAACGCTGTCCTGACACATGGAAATTTAAGAGAACGAGGTTTGAAAGGCTTGGTTTATTTCATAAGATTTATTCAGACTCCGAGGGTTCAATAGGTAACGCACAAGATGCGCTCATTTATTTTCAAACCCTGCATTTGATAGCATTATTTTCCTTTTAACACACCGAGTTTGGTACATAATTGCCATTGAGTGCCTTTTGAATTTTGGCGTTTCATCGCTTTCGTCAGCCTCTATCTTAAAGTATTCAAACTGGGTGTTCTGCATTGGGATGGCGACGCCTTCTCCAACAACAAATACGTAAAAAATGGAAATAAACTTTAAACATAAATGTGAAAGGGTTAGAGATTGTTATATATGATTCTACGCCCGTATTATATACGTTTCCGTCATCCATTCAATATATTAAATGAACTTAGGAGCAACTTTTAGTTGGGTTTTGAGTTGTATTCTCGCGTTAAGATTTCAAGATAGATTTGCAAGTTAGATTTCACTTAGATTTAATTAGTTTGTTCGAGAATATATCAGGAAATCCTGTGACGAAACTTTCGCGGATAAAAAGCGCATCGTAGCAAGTGACTGAAATCTTGAATTTTTGTCGGATTCCATTGTCATAGAACATCACTAACATATCGTAAAATTAGCCTAAAAAACCTGAGTTCATTTTACAGCCTGAAAGTTCGTATTTTGGGGTTCAATAACTCGCATATGCCTGTAACTTTAAATATTCAAACTGGATGTTCTGCTCTGATACTTCACATACTTTTGAATAACAAGCACGTAAACAAATGGGTGAAAGCTTCCAAAGGAAAGTCGATACCTGACATAATTATAAGTTGAAGTCGAGGTTAAGCTCACAAAATGTTTATCAAGGTTAAGCAAAAGAATATGTTAAGCACATGAAAGTGTTGTATGGTGGGCCGTTCACCTATCCGGGTTAGATAAGTAGATTCTAGAATTTCTTATCACACAGGTGGTGTGCATATCGATTAATGAACTTCGGCAAGTCGGCTTTAATTTTGTGTCACGTGTCGAAAGGCGACTCTTTGTGAAAAAGCCTTCTAAAGAACTGAACAGACCTACTGAGCCTGATCTAGGCGAGTGGTAATCATTTAAAAAGCGTTGTTTTTTTTTTTTTTAAAGTCGCCTTTTAGCAGGTACTCCGCCACTCCGGGAAAACCGATAATCCTTAAGAGAATAACCACAGATGAAAATATTAAGGCGGCCGATTATTTAAAGTGCTTTTTGTAAGCGAATGGTGTAAATCGCTCCACGATTTCGGCGTCTCTGATTATTGAACATCCAGGACAAAGAATTCATCATGCTTAAACAACATTCCTCAGGTATTTTTTTTCCGGATTTCGACTAGTTCAGTCGTTTCTTTCGTCCTAAAATGGTGCTTTGTGAAGTCTGGGCTGTGCCATAAGCCTCTACCATCACTCAAAAACAGATATGTTAAAGTATTAACCTTCTTTTTATCACTCATTGATCCGATACAAATGAGAAGCACGACTAAGTTTGTGACAAAATATTACAAAGAGTTTATAATCTCTTGGTTTTTAGCATAAAGCTTAATAACTATTCTGAAAAAAAAATTGATGGTAGAATTTCCACGAGACTCCTAAAACTCGCAGATATCAAAATTTAAAAGCACTGGGATTTATTTCCTTTCATTTTTTGAAGCAAAGATAGAGAACGATATGGAAATAAATATCTTTATTGCAAATATTAAGTTTTAAACAATATCAGTTTCTCTAAAGTTTTTCTGACTCCGCTAGAAAGAGAGCCTCGAAAAACGAGGCACTCTTGATTTGTAAATACCAATTTGGCTTCTAAATTTCTTCTCTAAGAGAGTGAGACTGAAAAGAAGCGATATTAACTCGTATGTTTTGCCGACCCGCCGATAAATTAAATCTGTGTAAGCTAAACGATAAGGATTCAACCGAGATTGCTTTATCTCTGACAGTTTTCATCTCAAGCCATAGGACACGGGGATCATTTGACAACGATTCTGATTTCAACCCAATAAAATGCCAGTGTTTTATCAGTAATCTTCACTTCCAACTTTTCTGAGTTAACGTAGCTTTCTGTAAAAAGGTTCAGTGGGGGCTTTTGATTTTATTTCTGGTTTCCACTTCTGACTGATACGCTTGTCTAGTCTCATCACCTGCTCACTGGAGAGTGTATTGATAGCGTAAAGAGAAATTATATATTAATCGCAATCGAAAGTTAAAAGTCTAACCAAATGGTCCAGGCAGATTGAGGCCAAAGTAATTATTCGATATAAATCTTCAAAAAGGGCAAATGATATATTTTGGTTCCCACTATTACCTTTCAGCCAATCAGTTGAAGGCAGAGAAAGTGGATTTGCATAAACCTGAAAACAGAAAGGCTCACAAGACTGACGAATATGAGATCAAAAAACTGATTCTCCGAAGAGGACAGGCGTTTGACGTCACAGTAACGTTTAACAGAGAGTTCTCACCTCAGGCTGATGTTATCATACTGCAATTTGTCACTGGTAATGTTGTCGACTGACCTGGAAATATCTAGATTTTTCATACCTAGTATTTAGTTTTCAGCAATAAGTAGCCTTGCTTATAGACAAACGCATCTCGAAAACCTTTTGTACTGTGAGGGAAAGTAATAATGTTAGTAAAAAGTTGTTTCCTTTAATCTTTTAAGTTTTTGTGAACTTCTACTTTTTCTCAATTAGTACAGGTAACAACATGATTTTGAGTGCAATTAGGTGTTAATAAGCACGAGTAAATTTTTCAAAGACAACAAAACTGCACGAGCCCGTAGGGCGAACAAGTGTAGTTTGTAGTCTTTGAAAAGTTTACAAGTGCTTATTACACCAATTTTCAAGCGAAATCATGTCATTACTTGTTAATAATGTACCTGAAAAAGCATCACAGAAAGTCAAGATAGACGAAACTTTGAAAGCGTGCGGGCGCTATTTGTAATTTGCACCCGTGTTACAACTTTGCACTCGTGCTACATGAGAATGCACTCGACTTCAGCCAATCAGAAACGCGTAATTTTTTCAGGTACATTAATTGACCCATATCTAGGTGTGTTGACTCACTCTTGGTCAATAACGCATTTATACCACAACCATAGGTGATAATCCTCAGGAAAACAAAGGAGGGATCGAGCGAGTTAAAATTCGAGATGAACTCGTATCGTCCAAATGGGGAATGCAAGTCAAACAAACAAATGGAAATACAGTTCGTTTGTTAGTCATGCCCTCTGTGAATGCTGCGATTGGCTATTATGAACTGATGGTGGAGACAAAATCAAAAGATTCCTCAGGGGACGTGTCGCTATATCGATACAAACATGAAGAAGAACAGATTTGCATCTTATTCAATGCGTGGTGTCAAGGTAACTAAAATTCTTTGCAATTGATGAAACTAAAAATCACAGAGCAACTCACACTAGAAAAACAGAAATAAAAATTATATAACGAAAACCATTACGAGCCAGTTTTTGGGAATCATTACAAAGTCCGAATAGAAAGAACAGCAGTAGTGAGTAAAATAGCAAGGTGTTTCACACCGAAGTGGAGGAAATAAGAGGGTCTCAATGAGGCGCTGGCTTTTACGGCTAACGGTTATAAAAATTTTGGCCATCTTACGACTTACGGTTAACGTCAATTCATTGTTATCACCAAAATTTTTTTTTAGTACGGTTACCTTTCTTACGCCTAACGGTTAAAATTTGTCAATTTGTACGCCTAACGGTTAAATTTTGTCAATTTGTACGCCTAAAGGTTAAATTTTGTCAATTTCAGGTACGCCTAACGGTTAAAGTATTTGACCGTTTTACGGTTATCAGTTAACCCCATTGAAACCCTTAAATAAAGTATCGGACAATCGCACTTTATTAGAGGAATATTTGCCGATCTTGACAATAAAATTAAACTTTTTATTCTCACTATTTTCTTTTTGAGAAATCGCTCAGATAAGTGTTTATTTGCATGCGCTTTGAACATAAGTGGAGGGAATGTAAATTACCTTACAGCTGTCAGGATGTGCAATGATAATGATGTTATTTTTGCAGATGATGTGGTGTACATGGAGAAGAATGACGATCTTGAATTGGATCCTGATGAATATGTTCTAAGGGAAAGTGGCTCTATTTGGAGAGGAAGCTGGAAGAGGTTTTTCGGATTTCCATGGAACTTCGGACAGGTCAGTAACAATATGTCAAACACTTCAAGTTTATTTCAAATTTGGTGTAAAAAGAATGTGGCTGGGATGGAAGGGGGGGATAGCTTTGCATTAAATGCGACTTTTACGGAGCGCCTAGTAAATAAATTTGTCACCCAGCTTGTTTAAAAGAAAAGAACAATAGCTTTCTCTTCGATGTGTCTTTTATGACAAGTTGCCTTGATGCGCAATTCAGCACCCGCGTTTAGTTTAACCGAATCAAACGTGTTACCTCAGTAGAGGTCGCATTGTGCTTTGATTTTCTTTCATGGTTTTCCTTTTCTTCTTTCACGTTTAGTTTGATGATGCAGCTTTAAATTCGGCTTTGTTCCTGTTGAAGAAGGCCGGCCTCTCCGTTACCGCGATGTCCAATGTTATTCACGTGGTTAGGAAAATGACACACATGGTGGGAGTTACATGCATGTAGTTATCATTACAATCACGTTCAATGATCTTGTTGTGCGCCATGCATTGAGGACGCGATTTCTCGTCACTTTAAACAAGGACCAGAGAGCATGTTTTAATGATAAATGTTCTCATAAACAAAGACAGCAGAAATATTTCGAGCTCTGTTTTTTGACATCTCTTTGACATCTCCTGTTAACAAGAAGACATTGTTCGTTATCTGAAAAAAGTCAAATAATACTGCGGTTGTTTCTGCAGAGGTCGTTTTTCACCCTCCCTCAAAGTGATAGGTGAAACCAAAATGTATTTCTCGAATTTTGGAAGCAGGTCGCGGGAAAGATAGTCGGGCTAGCTAATGGGAGGCGTGTATATCGTGTGCGTGAAGACTCGATAGTTTCAGCTTTGAGATCTTCCTTCGTATCATCACAGGTAAATTCAACCCTCTTGGAGGGTAATTGGGGTGATCCGGAAGATTTTGAAGACGGAACTGCACCCTGGGAATGGAGTGGGAGTATTGCAATTCTGGAGCAGTTTTGGAAAGAGAAAGATATAGTTAAATATGGCCAATGCTGGGTGTTCTCTGGAATCCTAACATCATGTACGTAAGCTGCAGTATTTTGAATGTAAACTTGTCACAGTTAATGATTTAGCCTGTGTACGAATCAGATGAGAGCTACAAACGCATCCGGGAAAAAGGAAAGTCTGCGAACAGGCGTCATCTGTGATGATTCATTTCCGTCTTGTGGACGCAAAACTGTTTGAACTAAATTTCATAACCCTTTACGTCCCAGAAGTACTTCACATGAGGCCTTTTGTCGCCTTACTTACACTGTGTCACATATTAAGTGTAATAATATGCAAAATTATCTGCTGAAGGGTACTTCATGACACTAAATTATCTGGAATAACTTACAATTAAAAGGTGTACTAATAAGAGGAGACAATTTAAAATCAGATCAAGAGAGCTAAACGCCATCATTTCATGACAATTATAGTTAGCAGAATATCGTATTCCATGATAATGCTCCACCCTCTGATATGCGTAATAGACAGACGCAAATTTATTAGGTCAAACATAAGTATCTAAACCGAGATGGCAGAGTCATCTGAATTTATGTAGCTTCAATGTGTTTTAGTGCTCCGAGCGTTAGGAATACCGACCAGAAGTGTCACAAACTTTGAGTCTGCCCACGACACAGACAGCAGTTTGACGATTGATTACCACTTTGATGCGGATGGACGACCCGATACAAGCCACAATGAAGATTCCGTATGGTAGGCACGGCGCATTGTAAAAAAACTATCTAAGTCACTATCAAGGGAGACTAAGAAACGACGATGGCGACGCCGTGGACAACGTTAGCTAAAAATGTACCTATATTTTACCCACAAATTTCGCGATACTCTAAAGTCGATTAGACAAAATTTGGTTTTGCTTTGTTGATTTACAGAGGACGCAAAGAAATTTAAAAGATTTACAACGCACGTGTATAGTCATTGTTCTGCTCTTTAAATCTTTTGTTTAGTGACATTCCCGTTGCCGTTGCCGTCGTGGTTTTCATAGACTCCCTACTATTATTATCACTGTACTTAAAAATACTGACAAAGTTTGCCGTCGAAATAAGTGGAGCCGGAGTTTATTTTGACTGCTGTAGCATGAAGCGATTTGGAGTAATGCTTATTCCTCCTACAGGGGTTGCTAGTCCATCGTAAGCTTACTTCCAGTATTTTGTCAGGATGCTCTGTCAATAAGTGAGTACTCATTTACACTCGAGCTCATGATCAAGAGTGGAGAGTAGAGTGTCTTGCCAAAGATCACAACACTGATTGTCCTTGCCCGGTCTTGAACCCGCCCTGCTCGCTTAGCGCTCAGGGTGCTAACCATCAGGTCAACATGTCTGCCACATCGCTGTATCTAAGCCTTAGCTAATTGTTGAATAAGTGCGTATTGATTTTACAGGAACTATCACGTGTGGAACGAGTGTTGGTTCAAACGCGTTGACCTTCCTGATGGTCATGATGGCTGGCAAGCGATAGACGGGACACCTCAGGAAGAAAGTGGAGGTAAGGCAAAAGGAAAAAAAAAATGGAAAAAAATTTTTTCCTTTTTTACAAGCATTTTTTTTTTCCTGTCATTTCGCAAATGCCTTTCTCACGCATATTTCTCGTTGTTTTGTTTCGTAATAAGCCATGTTTTATCGTCACGAGCGTCTTTTGTCTCCAAAATTGTCTTGCATTTTTCATCGGGACCTTAGTCAATGGGTCCCTGTTGTTTCCTTTGCAAAGCAATTTACTCCTATTGTTCTATGGTTTGTTTACTACGACCCAAAGTATTTGAGATTCGGTTGGAGAGGTCATATAGTAATAATATTTCTTTCCCTCTTGATAGAAAAGCCCCAAGTTAACGGAAGACATGTTTCCTAATCAAAAACTCTGATCTTAGGATGTGTTTTGGTTTTTAAGACACTCGTGCAATTGAAAGGCATTGTAGAGCCTCTATGAGAAATTTGGTCTCGTCTATTGATCTTCTCTCGGGTAATAAAAAACCTTCCTTTATGTCTGTGTAGGCTTTTACCAGTGTGGACCTGCCTCAGTTAATGCCATTAAGAATGGAGAGGTATACCTCAACTATGACACTGGCTTCATCTTCGCCGAAGTGAACGCTGACAAAGTTTATTGGGAGGTTCCGTTCTTATTTAGCGGAGAAATGAGAGCCATTCAAACTGACAAGATGGTTATTGGCAAGAACATCAGTACTCTAAAGCCTGGCACGAATGGAGAAAGACAAGATATTACACGTCGCTACAAACATCCAGAAGGTATTCTCAGTAACATGCAAGGTTGGCCGTAGAATCTGTAAAGAACAGTTCACGTGTCACATTTAAGTGACCTCTGTTCGCCATATGTTTGTACGAAAGCTAGAAAAACTCGCTGCTAACTTGCAAACTTCCCAGGGTTTCCCTTGAGACGAATTGAATAGAAAACCAAACTAATGCCCCATTCACACCAAAGCTTAAACATGTTTAAAAGTTGTTTTGTTAAACACAGTTTAATTTTTTTTTCTTCATAGAAACTATTTAACCGAATATTTTTGACTTGAATGTAGCACATTGGAAATGCAAGTTAGCAAGTACTTAAATCCAATGGAAAATCAAGTTTTTCAGATAATTTTCATTCAATGAAAACAGTTTAACAAAACCTAAGTGTTCTTTCGTTGTTTGACTTGTTCTATTGAGCTGTTAATAAGCTAGAAGGAAGTTTATCAGTTGTGCTATGTGAGGTCATCTATAATTTTACGTGATTATAATACGAATTTGAGTTAGCGGAAATATAATCAGACAAGATAATTTGACCCAAAACGTTTCCTACTTCGTTACACCTTCCTTCTTCTCCAAGGAGAGGAAAAATGGACTTATAAACAACGAAGGTTCGATATTTTGGCCTCCAGGAAGAGCAACAGAATAGGGAAAAAGAAAAAAATTATATCAGCATATTGCACTCCCGTTCACTTCGAGTGAATTTTTTTTATAATCATTGGTTATAAATCTGTAATAGGTTCAGAGAAGGAGAGGAGTGTAGTGGAATTTGTGAACAGATTTAGCTCCAAAGCTGACCTCGAAATATATGAGACCGCCGTAAAAGATGTCACAAAAAGGCTTGAAATAGCCGATGAAGTGAAATTTGGAGAAGACTTCAAGGCTACTGCTTTTGCTAAGAACGAATCCAACGAGAGGAGAACAGTCACAAGCTATCTTACAGCCATTTTGGTGTTTTATACTGGTAAAGCCGCTCGTACTCTAAAGGAAGCTAAGAACACTGTCGTTCTTGAACCAGGGGAAGGTAATTTAGTGAAAATTTCAGAGATTGCTTTTATAGAAACTTTTTTTTAGCTCAAGGAATAAAGAAGACTTGAAACACTTGTGCATAGCCTGAGGATGATGCATAGAGCAACGAAAAGTCGTGTTCTGAGTAAGGCATGGTTATTTATCGTAATACGTTTATCTGCAGAAAAAGGTGCAACATTGGAAATTTCAACCGCTGAATTGATAGGTAAGTCAGCAGCAGAGGCCAGCATCAAAGTGTTCCTGAAAGGAACCGTCGAAGAAACAGATCAGCGCTTTGCCATTCAGGACGTGGTGGAATTCAAGAAACCTGGGCTGAACTTAACGGTAAAATGGGTAGTCTTAGAAATTTGTTTATCCGTCGCAGTTTAAACCCGTATGTAAATATCCATCTGCTGTACAGATATGAATGAAATATCAAAATTTCTCCATGGAATTTTTTTCATGTAATATCTTTTTTGAAGTGAAGTAACTTTATTAAATTAAGACCGGTGTGAGACAAGCGTGTGTGAGTTCGTCTCTCCTTTCAATTTGACCATCGACTGGGTCATGAGACAGGCAACAAAGAGAAACAAATAGAATAAGGTTGTCCTTTTTCAGCACGCTTAAAGATATGGACTTTGTGCTGATAACGTAGCCATGTTCTCGCACACGCATGGTCAGATGTAGAACAAAGCCACACAGCTCAACATGTATGCAAATAAAGTGGGCCTCAAGATCAGCCTGAAGGAAACTGAAGTCATGACTCTCGGTGTATGTGTCCAATCCATCACCTATTACGACTGACGATCAAGAAATCAAGCCTACGAAATCCTTCACCTGCTTGGGAAGTGTGATAAAGAGCGATGGTGAAATAAACAGCAATATCCAGAACCGATTGAACAAGGCAAAAGGGACCTTTAATCGAAGGAAAGACCTCGGGAAGTTAGCGCAGTACAACATGAAAACAAAGATGCGAATTTATAATTTGTGTCCTGTCAACTTTGCTTATAAGGCTTAGGGTCTGGCATATGACGGAGGCCGATCTTTAAAAGGTTGTCGATATTTCACACGATATGTCTCCGAGTAATCTCCCGTATATTTTGGCCAAGAACTATCTCCAAAAATGAGCTACTGGATCTTAAAGATATGAAAACCAAACTCAAAAACGACGATGGAGATGGATCGGGCATATACTTCGGAGAGAAACCGACAGCATTGCAAAAGTGGCCATCCACTGGACACCAGAGGGAAAGAGGAGAGAGGCCGACCTAAAAAAACTTTGCAGCAGACAGAAGACGAGGGGGAAATCTAGAAGCGGGCCGGGTATAGGGAAGAATGGAAATAATTTTTTTGCTGCCCTATGCGCTAAGAGGCGATACGGGCATAAAACTAAGGCAGACCGCTGTGTAACTTCGTTTCCCTCGGTAAGAAGAAAATCATCCAAAAGATGGAACTGTAAGTCATCTGCAGTGGGAGTCACTTACTGTAAAAGTGCCATGGGAGCAAAATTTTGTCATGGACATCCCAAAAAAAGCGACCTAGTCGATGGTTTTCTTAGCATTTCTAAGTGTCTAATTCACTCTCCATCTCCTTTCCCAGCCATTTAAACAATAGATGCAATAATATGCAATAAGTGCGTAGGGCGAGTGCAATGATCTGTTAAAATCAAACCTCAGGATATGCTGCCTAACAGATAATATTGTAAGAGTCTGCGGAGGTCATTTAAAGCGCTGTATTACCTTACAATTGTTTTTTGCCATTTTTAGGCTTCTTCAACGTCTCCGAAGTTAAATGAAAAAGTGACTGTGACGGTATCAATACACAACCCTCTTCCGATTGACCTGACGAAAGGAAAGTTTCACTTTGAGAGCCGTTTGAAACCAAAGACTCTGATAATTGCTTGCAAGTAAGATATTCTAGATTTAATGAATAATGGAAAAATGTCATATATCATTCACACAATGCACTGCAAAGCTACAATGGTGGTGACATGGTCTTTTCATTTTAAGGATAGCGGAAAAGAAAAAAGGAAAAAAAGTTGAGAAAGAAACACGTGTGCATGTGCTCAGGCGCCTGTACTGGCAGGACTCAGCCAAAGTCTTATTTCATACAATTTTCAAATTTATTTAGAACATGTAAATTCATATGCAAACGTTAGCCCTTTCACATAGTCTTGAACATTCTTTTGAATTAGCTCTTGAGGCTGCATGTCTTTGAAAAATTTGCACTCACACGGGCGCTTGAGAGCCTTAATGTCTATTTTTCGTTGAACCGACCCCGAATTTTAAGCTCAAGATCAACAAACTATTTGCTTTGTTTCTTTTACACTTTAGCGGACCCGTGCGTGCCAACGAGACAAAAGAGGTAACTGCGACCTTCCAAGCGGCGGAAAGACCTGGATATCGTAACTTAACGGTCACCTTTAATTCACAAGAGATTACAGGAGTGTCAGGAAATATCTTTTTTTATGTTGAGGAATAGAAAGAGTGCCTTTCGATCGTGTGTCACACAGAAAAAAATTTAACTTTTTATTGCCACAAGTGAAAACAAGAAATTGAGTCCAGTACATGTAACCGTCCTCAACACCTTCGTGGGAAAACGTGTGGATGCAAAACGTGATTCGCTAGAATGTTTTATGTGATAAGGGTGAGACCTTAGTGCGAGCATGTGTCAGACCGAACATAAGCTAGTCACAAAACAAAACCCAGGTTGGTGTTAAAATGATTTCAAACCTCAATCGAAAACCACCAAGATATAATTGTAAGTGAGATTAACAGTTATTGTAATTTTCTTGTTTCCTTGTGCGCAAACATACAAATTTTGTTAAAATTATAAAGTTTCTAAACATGAGCATATGTACAAGCAGTCAAGATACATAATTTTTGTTAACGCTCTTGTAAGCGTTTCGATCTCGAGATTGGGCGCTCTTCATATTGAGCGACCTTGAATTTTTAACGATTCAAGCTATATCCCAACTTAAAATTATATGACACTTGTCAATGTGACATTAAAGAGCGATATTTTAATACAAGTTGTCTTCTGTGAGTTGTGACTAATTAGTAACACCTTCGACCACGCTTTTGTTTGACTTCGCCTTTAAAAACGTAAGGCATACTCTTCGCACCTTTCAAATTATCTCCGTAAGTTCACTTATACCATTGGAGATGAGGAGCTCACGAGAGTGTAAATGTCGTTCTGTTTTGCGCCATTTGGCGTCTTTTACAGCTTTTGCTTCTTGCAGTACTCGCTGCTCCAAAAAATGACAATAATTTTGACCGAAATGCGAGATTCTCCTCTGCGGGTTTCTTTAGTGAATTATGCTTTCAAAGGGACAATTTTTCTGTGCTAGTTGTGCTCTGACGTTTGTTCAAGAGGAGTTTTCAACTGACTTTTTCCAAACCTGGAGTCCAGTTTTAACCGTATAACCTTAATACTAATCATTGCCGTGAAATGAGCTCTGTTTTTCAAAACCTTTTGTCGATTTAAGTTTTCGTCCCTTTGTTTTCTGTTCCTTGTAATCCGTGCTTTCAGTTCATTACCTCTTCTCCGTTTCATGTTTTACCGTTCGATGTTCCTCCGTTCCATGTTCCACTTCTCCTATTCCTTGTTCTATTTTTCCTGTATCAGTCAACCGAGGAAAGCACACAATTTGAATAAAGAAACAATAAAACACAAAAGTGAGTACTGATGAACATGAAAATCTCGATAGTGGTTCAAACTTGGCTTATGTTAACCTAGTCAAATTTGCTTGACAACAGATTTACACCAAAGCCTCCTTTCGTTCAAAAAGAAGGACATTATAAAAAAATACCAGTCTTTTATGGCTCAACCAGAGGAACAAGCCGGTTGTTTTCGGCTCAGGTACGTATGTTTTTCTGTAGCATTTTCTCTTAAATTGCTCAGACAAATGAATGAATATCCAGCTTTTTCGCCATTTCTATATATCTATCTCAAATCAAGATTCCTGAATAAACCTCTCGAAGGTTCATACTAACGATCGTTTTTAGACTTGTTTGACAAGTCAAACGTATCCACCTCGATTACGGTGAAATCTACATTTGCGTTACTGAAGATAACAGTATGATTGAGTCGGGAGCCGGGTTTGATTCTCTCAATTAAAAAGAACCGAACATCAACCACACCGTTTTAGTGGCTTTTAAGGACTAAATTGAACGACGGAATAAATGAAATAATGACATCAAACTTAGCGAAAGATAACGTTTTGAGTTTTCGGCAAAGGGATTGTTTATTTGCATGATTGTTTATTTACATTTAGCATAGCTTAGCAACATCTTACCGAACCAACTTTGCGTGAAGGACAGATCGTTTTAAGCTCAATCATTTTTTTTCGGTTTTCCCACTGTCATTGGAGTTTAATGAACTACAAAATACTCCGCCAGGATTTGCCAATCTGTTACATGAACTGAAAAGTGCTTTTGGGATTTAAATTAGGGGCTTTTGAAGACAGTAATTGATTAATCCTAACTTGTCTTCGTTGAAGCACTGAACCGAAAACCGAGGGATGATAAGTTCGAATCGTAGGCAACGCAAACAGCTTGGATTTTAAAATTTTGTCTCATTGATTCTGCTTTTTTTTTTAAATATGCATACAGTGTTATGTTTATCTCCGCGCAAAAATGATGAGTAGACACATTCCTTTAACCCTCTTTGCTCGGATGAGAAATGTTCCTTCGCTTTAATCAGTTTCATGTAACAAAATAATGATACTTAAAATACACATCTGAGAATTGTCTTACGAGTAAATAGTCGAATGATAGTTCCCCTATTTAGATTTAGTTTTGCATATAATTTAATCTAACCGCGATTGCTGTTAATATTTCTGTTTGAGACAAGTTTGCGAGTCAACATGGCTGACATCTTTCATTCCTAAGACGCACGTTTGTGCTAAATTCATTTTATCCACTGTTCAATAGCCGCCCTTGAAGCGTATCTGTTTAGGAAGATTCAACTAGGATAGTTTATTGTAGATAGCTCAGTGACTGAATCTTAAAAATTCATTTGTTATGACTGAATTCTTGACAACAGGGATTTATTGGGATTTGCAAAGAAAACTGTAGAAAACTCATTTATCTATATGGGTTGTAGATAAATGAATAAATAATCAGATCATTGAATGGCAGGTCTCTTACAGTGGGCTCAAGCCTTGGTGCTTGGTCTTTAATTCTGGATAGGACTGTAAATAATAATACACCTCAGGCTACCTTCATTTTATCGATTTTGCACCGAAGCAAGATAAAAAGCGTTGGATGATACCGCGATTGAAAGAAAAAATTTTGCTTCAAAATATTTTACAACGCACGAATGAAAACAACGTTAATGAAATAATCATAATTATGAACATTATCACGATTATAATAACAATAATTTTCATACATGTCATTTTAAGCCAGGGCACTCCACGGATCTTACCAAACTGTCTTAGAAAAAAGCGAACTCTGCTAAGTTAGGTTATTTTCATGTGTTCTGTTGCGAGAACAATTGAAAAGGACTGGAAATGTTGATAATAGAGTCTTGATGAGTTCTGGGTGAGCAGTTGTGGCAGTTAGTCAAGTGTGACACTTTTGTGGTAGCGAGCGGTGTGTGATTGCGTTACTTAGGATTAGTAGTTTTGAGTTGTTTTGCAGATTTTGTAACAGCTTTTTGAAAGCCACTGGAAAATAATCACTTTCAGCTGATACACTGCAGTTCTTTTAACTCACTTTTAGCATTAAAAAAAGTTTCCACATAATTTCTCAACTCAAGTTTGCATCCTTCTGATTCACTTAAAAATTACAGGAAGAGGCGAGGAAAAAGAGTTGAACCTGAAGGAGCCCACAATTTAAAGTACTACACTTTATGGTTTGTTTGTTTGTTTGAACCCAGGGGTAAATGTGATCGTGTAGAGTGATCCCTTAAGTAAGGGTGGCCCTGAAAAGGAGAGTTGACAGAAACTGAAGGAACTTAGCTCTAAAGACGAATGCATATATTTTTTCGACGATTGAACTAAGTTGTGACAAGTTTGGTTCGTGAAAACTGATTGGTCAGTTTGTTCACGATGTCCTCCGCTGTCACACTCAGGTAGCATTTGTCTGTTGCGAAAGGTTATTATTTTTTTTAACACAGCGGTCAAACATAGGGGATGCACAAGGGGTAAAGTTTTACCAGCCGTGTGAAAATTTCTCGGGAAACACTACAAAAAAAACAGAAAAAAAAATTAAAAAAACCTAGGAAACAACAACTACAGGATTACCTTTAAGGTGATCCTATATAAGGAATACAGGTTTGTAATTGGAGGAAATTCCTCATAAATATAAGTAACAAATTGTTGATGTGAATATCACTTGTCTTTTCTAATCAACTCCTCTCTCACTATACTATCTTCTTCATCTTTTTGCGGATAGAAACGAACAAAATGGACCCCCGTCAAATGGATCGCAGCCCACGGAGTAAGCTCTGCTTATTATTGGTGGCTTCTGCTCATTGTACAATTTTAATTCGTTAATTGCACAGTAGTCTGTTTCATCTGTTAGTGCATCATTAAACGGTTAGTTTCGCATTGGAGAAGTCTTAAAGGAATAACAGACATGTCAAACTACAACTAAAGGGCTTAAAAGTTGGTTAAAACGTGCAACGTGCAATCACTGAATCACTTGACCCTTAGGAGTGATTTGCATCTAATTTATCTCACACCTGCATTACGCATTATGATAAATAAAGGAAATTATCACCCACTAAAGAATTAACTCTTGATTGTTAAACAAATTCACCTATCCAAGACCTTAGGGAATGTAGAGAGAACAGTATAGAGAATATGCATACTTATTTTAGGATGTAAAGGGTTAAAAAAAACTTGACATGTCCCCTCAATGCCAGTAACATGATTAGCCTAGGACCCTTTTCCTGGAAAATCCCTCTTTAGCCACTGCATATTTTCTACCGTTTTCTAAAGGATCAGTAATTATTTATCACCTCGGGAGATTTTTTGGGGGGATGGCATTATTTTCATGAAGAGAAGAGGGTGCATTAGTTTTCGCTAACAGAGTATAAAGGAGCATGGAAAATTGACTTTCAATTAGTGGGGATTATTAGAATACTACAGAGCTTAAAGGAATGGGGGGGGTGTGCGGAAATCTCCGACCCCCATCCCCTCCCAGACGATAAATAATGACCAGTTCCTCATTCAGTAAAAACAAATCTGATTGTCAAGTGAGCAGCGGATGGCGATGTAATTCTATTTTGTTTCGACAGCTGATTTATCGTTACATTCGCTATGCAACAATTAAAGTTGCAAGAACTGACAGAAGCCCACAGTGGGCGCAGATAGTGGTTTTTAAACAGTCATGACTCTTGTTTTAGTCTATTTGTTTGATTCAGGCCAGTGGTAACGGAAGAAAATCCGGATGAATCCCAAAATTCCTTGTAAGTGGTAAAAAATAAACAGGTTAAATAGGCTTGACAGGTTTCAAGAGGACTAGCCTGATCTGAAATAGTCTTGTATGATCAGGACTTTAGTTGAACAGCAGGAAACTTACTCACTTGATGCTAAACTTCGTGGTATTTTTTGTGTAAGAATGAGAAGTATTTAAAAGATTATATATCTCATCGTTTATCAGTTTTGTGACTGTCAACTAAAATGAACTGAGTTTCCTTGCAACAATTTTTGAAGTTCCTTGTCACGAGCAGGGCATAAATTACGAGATTATTTCATGCATAATGGTGCTAACGTAATCATGTACCATTATTCTCAATCATTTCATATGTTTTTGTTAAATTTGGATATGATAGAGAGAATTCAAACAACAGCTCCAGGTCTGGTCTGGGAGAGGGACTGGACGGTAGGATCAATCTGATATCTGATAGAGATTTCCGAGAGAGAAATGATGCCTTAAGGATTGACACGGGAAATGACAAGCAAGGTACAGGATTGAGGATTGAGAGATTTTCTGTTCGGTAATTTCAAGGATTTAAGGATTTTTATTGATTCAAAGTTAGAGTAAGGCTTGTGATGACCCTCCTCTGTGTACTTATGGGTCTGTATCCCAAAGCGAAGTTAAAAAGTTTCTTTATTAGACCCCTTTGTCGCAGGACTGAAAGGAGACGGGAAAAACTGGTCTTTTGTCAAACAGCGTTGATAAAATACCAGTACCGAGATGTTATGTGGCAGAATTTTTATGGATGAACAAACTTATCAGGGTATTTCTGTGATTCAAATAATAGTCACGAAGTTCGCAATTCTATTTTCTCATCACTTGACTCTGCCACCTCTTTACTCTTCGCTGCTTTTTTTTTCCGACAGGGGCAGACTCCCAGTTAAAACCTGTGACAGTTGATTTTCACTACGAAGAAAACAGGACAGCTCATAAAACTGATGACTACGAGATACCACAATTGATAGTCAGACGGGGAAAGGAGTTTGACTTCACTGTGACGTTTAACAGAGACTATCACCCGGAAGTTGACGTCATAGTTGTACAGTTTGTTACGGGTAAAGTATTTTCAATGTGTATTCTAGCTTTTGTTTGACTGATCACATTTAAATGCTTATGACTTAATCAGCGATGGTTATTCACCTTCTCTCAAGAAATAATACTGCTTTTCTTTTGATTAATAATGGTAATAGGACTGAGTGGAGCCCAATTCGGTCTGTAATCTTATTTTGTTAATTACGAGTATGATTAGAGAAAGAATTGGACGACACGAAGTCCTGTTACCAATTAATCAAAACTATGACAAAATTCGAGAAAGAAACTATTCATCGATCATACGTTTTCATTAAGAAAAACAACAGATAACTCAAATCGGGTTGGTGATAACCAATCACGTTCGAGAATTTTGTTACAGTTTTGATTAAGCAGTTTATCATGAACGTAGCTGTTTCACGTATTTCTGAATATTATTTGCGCCTCTTCAGGAAAACGACCCCAGGAAAGTAAAGGATCGATCATACGGGTGTCAATTCAAGACAGCCTCACCACAAATCAGTGGGGAATGCAGGTCAAGGAAGCCAGTGGAAACACAGTCCATCTGTCAATCATGTCATCAGCAAAAGCCATTACTGGTCGATATGACGTACTCATCGAGACAAACAGCACAGCCTCATCTGGAGATGACTCCTTGTTTCGACACAAAGTCGAGGAGCAGATTTGTGTGCTCTTTAATCCTTGGTGTTCGGGTGATTTTTTCTTCATTTCAGTTTATAGCGTCATTTGAAGTAGTTAACTCTATTCTGGTGCTTTGGATTCCAAACTTCTGAACTCTTCCCGAACATTACTCCTACTCAAAGAAAGTTTGTTCCGACGAAAGTTAACGTTAGAAACCCAGAATTGCATCTCACCTTTAATGAAGCAAATAGCTAGCTTGCACATGCTATAGGTAAATTCTGCTCAATAGATTTGATAGAAGGACATGAAATTACGCACCTTAAAATTCTCCCATGATTAAAGAATATAAGGGCGAAGCTTTGGTGAGAACAGTTGATTCCCGGCGCTTCGTTTTGTGTATAGTTATTTTTCGCACGGGTATAAGTGCACGAAGAACCCCTGTAGATTCCCCATAGATAGCTCAGTTCTTTTAGTATGTTTAGCTTTTTAAAGAGCAACAGCTTCCTACAGTTATTTCAACTTTTTGAGATTTTGATGAGACTTTATTGGATACCAAATTTTACTTTCTTTCTCATATGGTAGACGATACAGTCTTCATGGAAAATAATGAACATCATAATGAATATGTCATGGAGGATTTTGGCTACATATGGAGAGGGATTTCCGGGCAGTTCAAAAAAATTCCTTGGGCATTCGGTCAGGTAAGAATTAATATCACTTCTCACCATCCCACATTGCAGGTGTCATATGAAGAAGAGTAAATAAGTCTTAGCTGGCTAACGCCAAAATGGTAAATATTGACAGGCACATGGCGGGTGAGATTTGTAAATAACCTGTTTCGGTTGGTTGAAAAAGTATTGAAAAACTAAGTGCTACTGCCGATGACACTGACTATTGTATTTAGTTTATTATTGCCTCGTATGTTATTCTATGACATATATTTTTAAGCATTTTTTTTAGTTTGAGGATGTTGCCTTAAACTGTGCACTGTGGCTGTTGGATAAAGCTGAGCTTTCCTGTATCGCGCGATCCAGCCCAATCCATGTTGTGCGTACAATATCAGCAATGGTGAGTCAAAATACTTGCCTCAGTGCACGCTTTAATACTTACTTAGAAAAATCATAGCTAACGTTATGAAAACCTCATTACCGTTAAAGAAAATTAGATAAATAAATGTGGATGATGTCTTCCCCAGGTCAACTCAAACGACATGGACGGTGGGATTTTGTCTGGACGTTGGTCCAATACATTCCCTGAAGGAACAACACCACCGCTGGCCTGGACTGGAAGCACTGCCATTCTGGAAGAGTTCTGGAGAACAAAAAAGACTGTTCGATACGGACAATGCTGGGTGTTCTCTGGACTAGTAACAGCATGTAAGAGAATTTTACAGTGATGTATAATAAATACTTCGGCATACTTTCTGTAATTACTCTAGCATTCGTCAGATCTCATCGCTTTGCTCGGCTTGCAGTAGGGAGTTAAAGAAAATCCCGACGGCAACGGCAACGGCAACGCTTCTGAGCAAAAGGTGTAATAAGCAGAAAAATGACTGTGTACGTGCGTCATAAATCGTTGTAAATTTCTTTGTGGCCTCTGCGAAACAACAACATGAAATGACCAAACTGTACGTTGTCTGGAGAACGTGAACGGCGACGGCTAATTTTTTAAATTTCTATTTCTGATTTATGCCATGTACCATATGATTGACAACGAGAAACAAACTATACGAATTTAGAGTATCGCGAGATTCGTAAGTAAAATATAAATTCATTTTGTAACCGACGTTTTCCACGGTGTCGCCGTCGCCGTCGCCGTCGCCGTCGTCGTTTGTCAACTCCCTAATAAAAAAGAACTAAACTCGTCTCCGAAATGAAGCGGGTGGTGGTGGGGGGCTAGGGGCTGTGATTGGTACAGATTATGATTGCCATAGGCAAGAAAATGTAAGACCCTTAGTTCCCCTCTGCACTTGAAAGTAAAACCCACACAACTGAAAGCGAAAAAAACTTATAAATACTTGAGGGATATCGTTTTATACATGTACTTCTTCAAGAAAATTGAACATGGTGTCGGGCGTTGGAAGTTAAGGTTTAGCAGATAAAAACAATTAAGGCTCAATTAAGTCAGAACGTGTTATATGATATCAGGCATGGGGCCATAGTAAACATATTTTTGTTTACTTTATTGTTTCAGTACTAAGGGCGCTAGGAATCCCAACTCGAAGCGTGACGAATTTTGATTCCGCTCACGACTGTGATGGCAGTATGACGATCGATTATCATTTTGACGAGGAGGGAGATCTCATCCCTCACATGAACGACTCAGTGTGGTATGTGCTGCTTCTGGTTGAAAGCGTAGTAACCGTCTTCCATTTAAGTTTTTGGTTTCGTGGTTAGATTGGAGCGTGGGAGAAAAAAAAGAAAAGGAATATTGAGTTCATAGATGTTAAAGTAGCGTGCCCTTTCTAGGAACGAGTGAGTGTATAGATAGGTTACTCTGAAGACCAGAGATACATCTATAGTCTAGAATATAAGCGTCGTTCTTATGGTAACCAAAAACTTCAGCAACGCGCAGTTGTATCTTTAAAGAGATTATAGTGTTCTTGGACAGTTCAATGTTTATTCCACAATACCTCACTCGGTCCCACAATCATAGGCCGGTTACAGCTAACTATTACTGAAACTTGACCAAATGCTCCTGGTAACCCGGAAGTTGCTAACCAATATCCCATCCAGGAAGAGTGGCGATACCTTTAATCTCTTCATGCTATGGAAACCTGGAGACAGTGATACGCTTGATTAGCAATGCAAACAGTGCTTTATACCTCCTCCAGTCGAGATCAAGAATCTCTCAAATCGGTAGTATCTATCATACACACCGAATACTGATCTGGTATGCATGCAGTAACTCCTCAAATCGATTTCCTTTTTTTTTTTCATTCAATCAGGAACTACCATGTGTGGAACGAATCATGGTTCAAGCGTCCAGATTTACCAGATGGTCATGATGGATGGCAGGTGCACGATGCCACACCCCAAGAGACAAGTGAAGGTAAGGCAGTAAAGGAACTTTACCACTAACTTTACGCCTGGCTCTCGATTGCTTCACCACGGAGTCATAAAGGACCCGTTGGTTGACCTAAGCCGTATGTCAGGTTCTTAATTCGACATTGTTGATCCTTGCATCGCACCGAACGCTAGTCATGAACAAATAATCAGAGATTATGGTATTATCGAGCTCTCTGTACTCGAAATTGGAGGGTCCTATATTTGGATGTTTCTAAAAATTTCAAAATTGTTTCTTTGTCCCATGCTTGAAACAAACGATAACATTTTTATTTGTAGACTTCTATAGTAGTGGGCATGGTTATTAAACTCTTTTGATGCATGTAACCTCCCAGCTTCGGTTTTGAAGCCAAATTCCATTATTGTTTTTACGATTGCTTACAAAGCTTTATCTTAGATAACAGTATCCGATGACTTTTCGATGAAATGCACATAAGTTCATTGCGTAGATTTCACGTATATTTGCAATTTACTCTTTAGTTGAATGTTGGACAATTTAAAATGTTTTCATGTGGTTTGTCTTAACGGTCAACCTTGAAATAACGTGGTATTAGAACTCAGACTCTTAACCGATTGGGGGCACAACAGTTGGCGATGTACAAAGCGCAGATATAAGAGAGTGCTGGGAGGAGGATTTGATATAAATCTCAGGCTCAGAGCCACCTCGCCATGCCCTTAATTCCCGCCAAAAAATATGATAACTCCTTTTTTCGAAAGTGAGTGCTTATGCTTCAAAGTTATACTCTTCATGAGACTGATTTACTTCATCTGTTTCAGGTGTCTTTCGCTGTGGTCCTGCATCATTAAAAGCGGTTAAAAAAGGAGAAGTGTACCTTCCATACGACACTGCCTTTGTGTTCGCTGAGGTAAATGGCGATCGTGTTTACTGGAATGTCAAGAAATCTGATGGTTCAATGAAAGCTTTTTCCGTGGACAAGAAGTATGTTGGAAACTCGATTAGCACGAAGGCTGTCGGATCCGAAGAAAGAGAGGACATCACCCATGATTATAAATATCCTGAAGGTTGGTCTTCTTTTCCTGCCTATTAGGCACAAAAAAGAAATGTAGGAAGAAAGGCAGACAGACTTTCATTGAGCCAGTGAGTCAGTCAGTCAGTGAACCACTCAGTCACAAATGTCGGTCATTCATTCAAGACAGCCGCTGGATTTGTCGGTCACACATGTAGCACGAAATGTGTTAGCCAGTCTGATTTTAAGTATTTGAGGAATTTTAACACCCGTGTGATTATAACAGGTTCTGAAGAAGAGAGGAATGCTGTCAAATATGCCTTCCAGTTTAGCAGCCGCACCGAACACGAAATTTACCAATATCAAAGCGAGGATGTTGAATTTCGTCTCGACGTGCGAGACACTGTGTACATGGGCAACAGTTTTGACGTCGCCGTTGTCGTGGAAAACAAGTCAGAAAATACGAGAAACATCAAGGTTAACTTTACAGCTGTCTTAAGTCATTACACTGATGTTCCTGCTAAGAAACTGAAAACATACAAGCTTCAGTTCCTATTAAACTCCAAAGCAGGTAAGTTTTCACGGATTGTAGAAGTACGCAAAGATGTGAAAGACGTGAAAATAATTTATAACTGTGGGACGAAGTTCAACCCACAGTTTAACCGATCGGATGCTTGGAAGTATTTCTGAGCTACAGGAAACTCTTGGAGAGTTCGAGTATATATACGGACAGTACAAAACTGGTAACTGACAAAGGACACTAATGGAAGACGAGAAAATAAACACCTAACACGAAACTATGAAACACCAACACTAACAAAAAATGATAGTACAAATTCTTGCGCCTACAATGTGACATGCAAGCTACATACTGCCTGAATGAGCAATGTCGAATCGAAATAGTGCATGAGCCAAGGAAACAAAAATATAATTACATTGCTATCCTGGAGCCTCCAAGCAAAGTCCTACAATAATGAAGCTTATCGTCTTAGCTTACAAATTCACTACCATTTCTATTGATAACTTGGGTGGGTGCGGGTAATTTTTGTCGGGGCAGAGTTCATGCTACAGCAACTCAAGAAAAAATACTGGTCCCCCATTTTATATTCTATACTCGTGTGGAGTGGGAGTTCGACGAAGAAGCAAACATGTCTCCACGACCGATAACTTTCCGTACAAGTAAACATTTCAATTTTCTCTCATCAGAGAAACGTTTAGAGTTGAAAATTGAACCCAAAGATTACATCACCAAGACAGGAGCGGATGTCACCATTAAGTTGTACGTTAAGGGTTTAGTAGAAGAGACAGGTCAGTCCTTTGCTGCTCAGGATGTGGTGGAGCTCACCAAACCCGCGCTGGAAGTTACGGTGGGTTATCAACACTGCAAGGATTTGGCTGCGGGTTAATTGCTTTTTGTCCTAATGCCATTTCCATCGAAGAATTTGGATTCTCGCTCAGTAGTCTCAACCAATGTTGAGTTTCGAAGGTATTACACTTTTAATTTTGTTTCTTCACTTAGGCATCGTCATCGCAAGTGAAGATTGGTGAAGAAGTTGAGGTAACCGCGTCATTCACGAACCCTTTGCCAATACCCCTAACAAAAGGACAATTCCATCTGGAAGCCACTCGTATGAAACCCAAGTCACTTGTGGTCGACTGCAAGTAAGTAACAGCCATTCAGCAGAAGTTATGTCCGCGTGTAATTTGAAAACACGCACCCATAGGCACTTAGAGCAGGTTGGAGTGTAAAAGTAAGAATTTGATTTCCATAATCATGATGACTTAACACATGGGCCAACTCCACAATATCACCAGAGTCCTGGTTTTTCAACCTTGGGTGACTAGCAGCATTGCGATCCCTCTCCGAGGAATGCTAGTCCATAGCTGGCAGGTCGCCGCGGTACTTTGTTCAGGCTAGCAAGCCGCACCGGTATTCGTGTCATTAATAGAAAGAGGGATGTGGGAAAACTCTCCCCAAGTGGCCAGCGCAATGACCTCAACCAAAACTTGAATCGCAGCTCATCGCGGAAGATTTACTAAAATAATTGAACGAACTTTACCAATAGCCAAATAAATAAACAAATAGAATTTCGAGCAGTCTGCAAACGCAGCCTCCCCATATCTTATCTCCCAGGAAGTGATCTTGCTCATTAGACTTCTTAAAATGCATGCGGGGTGTGGGTTCCCTATTGTTAACTTAACTGAATTTAAGTTGACTTTAGAAAATTGTTCCTAATTCATAGGGGCCCTGTGGGTTCTAAGGAAGAAGCCAAGATCACTGCCAAGTTCACTGCAGCCAGAAAAGGAAAGCATCACATCGCTGTCAGCTTCCAGTCTAACGAACTCACTGATGTTCATGGCGAGTGTACTGTTTCTGAACCAGAAGCACGTTAAATTTTACATCTTCAAGGCGTTTGATGCCGATGGTTACAAAATTATTCGAGAAAAAATAAAAACCGTCCGCAAAGAAGAGCAAATTACTAAATAGACGTAGGAGGCTCATCTGTACCTTTATAAAACACAGCGACCCATAAGTGTATAAGCTCATCTTCACCATCACACCCTCATGTTAACTTGAGCTATTTTATTCCAGACATTAAATGCTTACATTAATTTTATCCTCATAAAAAATCAAATTCCCTTCTTATTTGGAGTTGTGATAATTTGTTATTTTGACTTGAATACGTAATCTTTGTACCAGCAGTCTTAACAGGGACATTTCACGTCGGCCATGAAGCCAAATAAAATTATATCAATAACGACGATTTCTTTTATTTCTTTCATTAACTAATGTATCAACCCAATCATCCTGGACTAAAACTTCATTATGTCTAATCTGATGATAATGGTAATGACGATGACGACGATAATTGTGATGATGATGACGATGATGACGTATTGCGAGCTTTTCAAGCTCTTCAGTAAATGAAACAGCGTCAGCTTAAAAATAATTAATCTAAAACGCGAAAGATAATTTACTACGTCTGTTTGTGAGCTGAACATCTATCTGCAACTACCTAATCGCGGTTTTACCCCCATTGCAGGTCTGCTTACACCAAAGTTCAAAGTTGGCGTCTTAACTATCAAGTTGCATGTTTCCGATACTACTTTAATCCGTGAGCTAAAACGTTACTACACACCTATTTGTCTGACGTGAGGTTGAATTCCGATCCTTAAAATTTGATTACTACTCCTCACAACATACACATTAAATCTTAAAATAATAGTTGAAATATATACAAAAAAGCTAACAGATGGAGAGAAACTAAGTACAAAGCAAGGGCTGCCTTTCGGAATCCACGGGGCCTGCCCAAGGAGAGAGAAGATCTGCATATGAAACAAAAATAACGTCAATTAAAATATCACATGAGATGATCCTCAAAAGTTGTTTCGTTCATGTCTTTTCATGACTTTTCGTGTAGTTCATGTCTTAACGTGTAAGTGGCAACCGGAAAGTTTCGAAATCAACGCAATTGGATCTAAAAACTTTGGTAAATTGAGTTATCAAATTCGTGGTTTAGTTCATGTCTTTTTTCCTTCCTTTCGTTTTCTGAATTCAAATATCACGTAGGCCAATAATAAGTGGCTGCCGGAAAGTTCCTAACTCAACACAGTTGGATGTAAAAACTTCGGCAAATTTGTTAGACTCAAGACCTTCAAATAAGTAGGTGTTGCCACCCCTATATCAATTACATTAAATGGCAAAAACACGTGGGTGAATCATGACCCAGAGTACATACCCTCGTTTAAAATAGCGTCCTAATTGGCTTGTAAAAGAGCGGGATTGGCGACCTGTAAATCAAGCCACAGAAAATACTCTCGTTAGTCAAGAAACGATGAACTTTTAAGTGGAGAGCGACCTTGACTAATTCCAGGAGTTAGAATTTTGAAGCCAGGCAGAATCAAGGTTGGCTTTCTACGATGATTATAAACGCACGCACAGAGCCACTTACTGACATATGGTGAAGGGTAATGGTGTTTTGTAAGAGATTCCTTTGAAGGGCTTCCAACTTCTTCGATTTGCAGGGAAACCTTGAAACAAGAACAAGGAAATGTAATAAAGAATGGGAAAACAGAGCATGATCCATGATATGAAACTATAGTAATAAACACGACACCTGATCTCCACGACAAGCCCGAAAGAAAAAGCTTTCTTACCTCTCCTTCGCGACATTTAGCTTCGTATAACTCTTCCATCTCTTGTAACCTGCACAAAGATAAACAAAACATAGCCTTAACAATGAGTTCACACTGACGATTTAAGTCATAATTACAGTCAATTTTCCTTAGCAAAGTTGATAGCAAAGATGATGAGTATATTAGCAAGAATTCATGTAAATGTTTGAACAATGAAACTAGTCAAAGGAAACATTTGCCACTGCTCAAAGCAGACGAGGAGAAGCGTGTCGTACCGATCTCTGAGTTGCTCTATGGTCTCCAAAGCTCCTTCCTCGTCAACAGGCATATCGATAGTCACATTCTGAAAAAAAGGGGGTGAATTCATAAAATCCAACATTTCAAATGGTCAACACTTGTGCTAAAAGGCGGACGTTTGCCTTGATTGTTAGCATTGTTGCGCATTTTACCCCACTTTAAAATCTCTTGAACAGACTGGCTTTGACTAAAAGTCAATAGAAAAATTGACTAGTTAAAAAGTAACCGACAACCAATTATTTCAAGTTAAGAGGGAATATTAAACTAAGCGAATGGACTTCAAAAGTTGCGCGCTTTTACTTTAACTTGTGATAAAATCTTCATTTCAACTTTGTCTCATTCCACATCTTCCCTTCTCCCACAATCCTTTTCCCCTTCTTTGCCTCCCTTAACCTCTTCCTGTATTTTTCATTCTCCCCGTCACATTATTCATTTTTTGAATCTTCTGTCGCTCAAGCAGACGTTCTCTCCCCCACCCCCCTCCCCTCCGTATTCAATATATCAAGATCATGGCTTCCTGGTCTTCATTATCAGCCGTCTCCACGCCGCAATTCCCCCGACACTGAAGATGGGACGTGCATACGCCTGGCACTTAAATGCCCCAAGGGATCTCGGTTTACCGCTCATTAGTTTAAGTGCGTTCTGACGTATCTACAGTTTGGCCACAATGTTTTTCTTCTAGCGCATATCGATCAATTAGTGTTCAGACTTACCTGGTTTCTAAGTTCTCCAAGCTGTCTCAAAGCCTCCTCTTTATCCGCTCTTGCAGCATCGAGATCATTTCGCCAGCCTTTTCCAATGTGTTCAAACTGGATTTTAGCTTTGGTAAGCGCCGACTGCTTTTCAATTAACGACTGTTGAAGATCTCTATTTTGATGAAGAGTTTCTTCAGTTTTTTGAGTTAGGTTTTCTTTCTCGCCTAGAGACTTCTCAAGTTCTCCTCTAAGAGCCTCCGTCACTTCATGAAACTTCGTATACAATTTGTCTTTTTCCATTCTACAGTCCTGACATTCCTTTCTGAGCCAGTTTATCTCGTTCTTCAATTCACCCACAATGTCATCCCCATCGGTAATATCGTCCCCAGACCTCTGAACGTTTTCTTCCGTCACACCAGAGGTGTCTCTGAGTTTGGCAACTAGTAATTCTTTGTCTTTAACTAGAGTTTCGACTTCTACTCTTTGGTTGTGAATAAATCTCTCTTTTTCGAGATTTTGCTGCCGACTCTGCTCAAGGTCCAGCTTTAAGGACGATAGGATTTGATCATAGTCCTTTTTCAATTTCACTCGTAAATTCTCCTTCCCTTTCATTGTCATGTACAAGTCTTGGCGAAGTTTGTTGTTACCATTTTCCAGTAATTCATAGTTGGCTTGGAGCTCCTCGTATAACTTTTCTTCGTCAGACTTATTCTGCACTCCATTTCTAAACTGACTTAGATCTTCGTTAAGTTTGTCTATGATTTGACGCTTTTCAGTGAGTTCGCCTTGTAGCTGTTCCTTCTGCAACATAAAAATAAAAACATAGCTCAAAGAACAGTGTTATTTCCCCCAGCAATCGTTACTAATAGACATTACAATCTATTACACGAACCTCCTTTGCATTATCCTCCTTCAAGGCCGTAAACTGCTCTCGAAGGTTTTCAAAATCTTCGGTTTTGGCGTCGAGGTTATTTTGTAGTTCCCGCCTCATTGCTTCTTCTCGAACAACAACTTGGTTAACGTCTCTGTTAAATTTCTCGGCAGCGTTCGCAAGGTCGGTCGTTAACTTTTCAATTTGGAGCTGCAGTTCTTGAATTTGTTTCTCTTTTTCTTCCAACTCTCCTGTACAAAACACCAAAAACAATATATGACTGTAAATTACCGTTAAATTGTTCACCGAAGCCATTTTCTATATCTGATGTCTTCTGTTCTGAACCCAAGCAAATAAACATTTCAGTATTCGCTAAATGAAAGAAGAACACAGCAAGTTTGTCTGACAATGACACTACAAAATGACGACACAATGATTACTGTTGAATGATTAAGAGGCGTTTACTGAGCTGAAACTACTGGAAAGTAATTTAAATTATTTAACAGGTTTCTCAGTCAACGTGACAATACCTACAAGAATCGCCTAGATCATTACAAAGCTCGCAGTGTACGGCTTACAATAAGAATCCTTCAAAAGTATTAGAACACAAGACGCGTTTCCGCATGAGATAATTCGACCACGTGATCACTCTCACGTATTTGTGCTGATCATTCTTTATTTAATCCCTAATTTTAAGACAAATGAGGCCTCACTACCTCTGAAAATTCACCAATTTATATAGGATAGATAGGTCTCTTTCTTGACAAGTAGCTTAACCTAACATCGAGACGGTAGCTTTAAGTAGAACAGCCTGATTTATCCAAATTGAAAATAAAATATCGCAGAATTGATGTTCACCTTCTCTGTCCTGCAAAACTTCGTCAAGTCCCATAATTCTGTCGTCTAACTCTTCCTTTTCCTCTTTAAGGTGTTCGATGATTTCCTGTAATTTCCCACTATCTTTCTCAGACGATTGGAGATCCATTTCTCTTGTACCCACGCCAGCATCTCTGACATCTCTCTCTGACAACACTGAAGACTTGTCGAGTTGCTTTAGTTTTAGCTGGAATTCAGACGCGATCTCATCAGCCGTTACTTTGCCCTGTAAAGCCCGCTGCAAATCCTCACTAAGACCTGACACGATGTGGCTAAAGTCTGCTCTTAGCCTATTTATATCTTCTTGTTCTCGCTCCAGCTCTTGTACCTGTGTTTTCAAGTGTTCAGTTTGAGCGTAGGCTGAGGTAAGTGCTTCCTCTAAGTTGTTCAAATGGTTTTGTTGTTCAGCTATGACAGTGTCGTAACGATCTTTCAACTGTCTCTTTTCTTCTGTATTCAGACCTTTCTGGTTAGACAACTTGGCTTCGAGGTCTGCAATTTGCTGGTCTTTCGCATCAAGCAAAGGCTGTTGTTCTTGAAGAAGATGCTCCAGTTGCAGCTTAGCCTGTTGCAGTTCTTTTTCGGCTTTTACCTTTTGCAATTGAACTTGCTCTAAAACTGCTTTTACATTCTGATTTTCTGCTCTGTTTTCGGAAAATTTTTGGTCGATTTCCTGTCTTTCCTCCTCCAAAGACTGAAACTGCTCCCCGAGAGTAGAAATCTCAGCATCTCTCTCCAATATACGTTTTTCATAATACTCCACCAGGCTACTGGTCTCTTCCTTCTCTGATAGTAACTTTTGTACTCTCGCTTTGAGCTCTTCAACAATTCCTTCCTTTTCTCTAACAAAAGTGTCCAACTCGATTCTTAATTCCTGAGCTGCCCTTTCACACTCTAATTTTTCTTGACGTACTTTGCTCAGCTCGGCTATGAGTTCTTCGCTGCTTCCCACATCACCCGTTTTTGGTTTGCCTTCTTTCTCTTTGTTTTTTCTTGTCATCGCTCTAACCTTAGCCTTCAAACGTTCGTTGACCGACTTGACCTTCTCCAGTTCAGAATTCGCCTTAGACAACTCATCCTTAACTTTTTGAACATCGTTAGGGTCAGAGGCGACAGTCTGCGAAGGGGGTGAGGTTAACAAGGGTTCTGTCTCACACACTGCGGTCTGAATTGGCTCGTTCTCTAGAGTCTGGATAACAACCCTGGAAACAATCTCTTCCTGATCACCGTCCTTTTCCCCTCTTTCTATTTCATCTTTTGGTGTTTCCCTTACTTGTAGCGTGGCCTCAAGACGTCTTAATCTATCTTCTACATCCAACTTTTCACTGTTAACAGACTGCAAAACGTCCCTGAGGTTGGAGACCTCTGACTGAGCATTCTCTAGCCTTTCGTGCATGTTTATTGCCTCTGTGTCCGTCGCCTCCACAGCCACATCTCCATGGCTCGTTTCAGACTTTTCTAATTCTTTCTGCAGTCGTTTCAGTTGAACCTG